CCATTTAAATTAAATTTAATCATATATTTGCCGCACGGGTTGTACACTGGCCTCCCATCCCGGCGCTGAGGGTATATAATAGTAGTCATAATCTTTTTATTAAACCGTTTCTCATAGAGGGCTGACACGGCCAGGGAGGCCACGAATGAACAGTCAGACACAATGGTCTGCTTAATGGCAAAACAGTCGACCACATCAGCGATGACAGCCGGTGCCGGCGACAGCTCGTCCAGTCGGACCCATCCGTGGAACTGGCGTTTCTGTTTAGGCGCCAACACCAATAGACCGTTCTTATCGGCGAATGGTATCGGGTATGAGAAGCGCTCCTTCAGGTCCACAGACAGAAACGGTACGTATTCTCTACCATTGATGAGGGAAGTGGTGCGCAAAACATGTATCTCTTCCCGTGTATAAGCCGACTGTCCGCTGATTACATGCTGTGGCGATGATGACTGGCCACTGGGTGTCTGGTTGACTGGAACAGTAGTCGTACGCGAAGGGCTCAGTTTCATATCATTCATGTCGGCGTTTAAGTCATCGCCCGTTGTCTCACTTAGTTTTGACGGCTGACCTCCTGGTGTTGTGCTCTGTGTTGGCTGTTTCAGTGCTTCGGCCCTATCGACTCGTGACCAGCGGTTTTGACAGTTGAAAAAGAAATCGCTGAGCAGAAAACAGAGTAAAGCGATTATTTAACATAGGTTTTATTCACTATTATAAATTTCAAATTCAAAAGTTATAAATAAACATCAAATCAGTGAAAATGACTTAAAAAATAAAATTTAAGATAATTGCCGAACGTTTTCGGTCAACACTGTGACCATCATCAGGGCTTAAGATGTTATAAGATATGAGAATATGTTTCACTAATGAATTACATTTGAAAACTGAGTGATAATATTCTAAATTAAAAGTTCACTCAAAATATTTTCAATTCATTTGTTTAGGTTTTATGATACAGTAATCATATCTCAATTAAAGTCTATTATTAGTCTATTATTAGAGTTAATTACGGTAATAGACTATCGATCGATAAAATGTATAATGAAATAGCAAATACACAAATTATACAAAATATATGCTGTATTATAAATAATGAATGAAAGGGGGGTTCAAAAAGGATCGCCCAGAGGGTGGAATCGAACCACTCCGACGCTAATCGGCTACAGGTTTGAAGCCTGCACTCCGGACCACCGAGAGTTCATCTGGGCACTCGTACATACCAGTCCACCACTTTATATACCTCACAAACACACATCCAATAGTCGTGAACCACTCCGACGCTAATCGGCTACAGGTTTGAAGCCTGCACTCCGGACCACCGAGAGTTCATCTGGGCACTCGTACATACCAGTCCACCACTTTATATACCTCACAAACACACATCCAATAGTCGATTACAGTCTATAAATATGATTAGTGACCAAAACTATGGGTTCGGAGACAACTAATTTAACGTAAACTATATTTTCTATTTCAGACACCTTTTGGCAATAATTTTATGTATAAATGATCTCTCAATTCAATGATTTATAAATTTGTGAGCAATTATTTGAATCGTAATAGTAATACACTCACAGCACCGATACATAGCTCAATGGCTTGTGTGTAGAGCTCCAGTGCCTCGTCTCGGTTGCCCTCCTGGTCCTCATCCAAGGCCTCCCGCAGTAAACACTCGGCCCTCAAGAGTTGGGACGTCTCCCCGCTATTCACGGACTGATTGCCGCGATTTGACTCATTTTCTGACCACAAATAACATACAATTATTGGACACAAAAAATGACACCAAAATTGTTATCATAAAAAAGATGACGAACTCATGAGTCTATCCATTAGTGTCTGAGCTCTCGTCATGTACTCCACGCGCTTGGCCTCCATGTCGGGTGCAGTGGGAGATGACTGGCCTGTAATGGACAGGCATTTGTTCAGTACATCCCATGTTTCCTATAGTATTCAAAAACAATTAATTTGTAAAATACAATAAAACTTAATATAATATATAACTGCATGAATACACTATATTCTTAATGAACACCCATATAGTGAACGCAATGTTTACTCTTAACAAGGATATAGTGAATACCAAGAATGTATCAATTATTGATCTAGGTGATTGACTCATTGGTGTGCATCACATACCCTATAGTAATACACAGCGGCCTCTAAATCATTATTGGTATCAAAAGTGACGGCCAGTTGTGCCAAATGTCGGGCCTCTGACTGCAGCTCATGGAGTGTCAGGTCTGCGGCACCGGGAGGTTCAGGAGCCGTGGATTCGTCCTCATGGGTCCCTTTGGGTTCACTCTCGCCGTCAGACATGTGGTGATCGCAAGTGACAAATGATTGCTTTCAAACAAATGACTCTAACTTATAGTCCATATGTTTGGTCACAAAACACTCAAATATAATATCAATTAATGACTGAATCTTATGAACACTTTTGCGGTTATTATCCAAAATGCTTACAACGAACACACATTTGTTGCAATGAATGTCAAAATTACACTTTTTGTCGATTGTTTTCAAAACATTAGAAACACATGAATTGAATGTGTTTTACGAGACACTGATTGCCATCTATTAGTCAATTTGTAAACAGATTTCGGTTTAAACTGATTCAATAGTCTAATTAATAAATAGATTTCTATTAATGCTTATCATTATTAAAGTGATATTGATATATAGAAATTTCTACATTCTTTCATATCTATTGAACACCTTATATGCCTTCAAGAATCAAAATTAAAATAAGTAAATATTAATTTAATAAAATAAAATTGGTGTCTATTCAAGAATTTGCTTTTGCTTTTTTAAATGATATATTAATAGTATACAATTATTATAATTAGGAGCCAGTCTCAGTCAATTTGTTATTACACAATTCATTACTATTTAAGAAATAATAAATTTCTAATAGACGATAAGATAAATTTTAAAGTTAAACTATTAACTATTTCTTAAATGTAGGAATTTTTAGGTAATTTAGCATTACTTCACCCAAAATATTCATTCAATGTTTAATACTGTACTTTCAAAAATAAGTTTTATATTTAGTTTAATTGTTTATATTTATTGTAATAATTTTTAATTTTCACATTTAATTTTAAAATTATTTAATACCGGTACTAATAAGTAAATTATACAAAAAGGAGCATTTGTTCAAACAATCAAATATATTANTGCCATCCCTTCCCCAGAACATAGACCTCCATGCGCTGACTGGTTGGATACCTGAGCGGCTGTCAGTCCACGGCAATGAGTCGGATAAAGACCGCACTTTTAAGATGCTGTGCGATCGGCACTCGAAGGGAGATGTGTTGATAACATTGGCGACGGGAGAACTGTCGGACGCCGAGTGCGAGCGCACAGGACTGGTGGCCACTCACGCCTACGCCCTCCTCGACATTAGACTTGTTTTGGTAATTATACCCATTTTATGGAGGAGTGGTTTCACATCATATAAACACATATTTTTTTGTTTTCTCACAGAATAAGCGCTTATTTCTATTGAAAAACCCGTGGAGTCATCTGCGATGGAAAGGCAATTACTCGGAACGGGATGTCATGAACTGGACCCCAGCCATGAAGGAGGCTCTCCGATACGACCCCCAAAGTGCCCGTAATTTTGATAACGGTTTGTGGCATAGTCTTACCATGTTTAGTTTATTATTTAATAAGTTTCAAAATGTTTTAAACCATTTATTCGTTAAACATATCCACAAAACATTGTTGGTAACTTATTTGTTATATTTGATGATAAACTACAGGTGTGTTTTGGATAGACATCGATTCGCTGTACCGGTTCTACGATGTGGCTTACCTCAACTGGAATCCTGGTCTATTTAAGTACACCTACTGTACCCATGAGTGAGTGGACATCTATTTTATAGATCAATTCAATTCATTTATATAACACTCTTATTTACAATGTCTGTCCCTTTTCACAGCTCGTGGAGCGCAGGTGTGGGTCCGGTAAAGGATCTCTACTTTATCGGTGATAATCCACAGTATAGTCTAACGCTTACGAACGGGAACAGTACGGTGTGGGTGCTATTGACCCGTCATATAACGGATAAAGTAATTGTTATTCTTATTAATAATTATAGTTATGATTAAAATGTGTTTTTCTTAATCTGCAGAACGATTTCGCTAATAATAACGAATACATCGCTCTATTAGTGTACAAAAACAACGGAGAAAAGGTGTATATGCCGTGTAAGTGCTCTCATCACATCCCTGTCCTCTTAAAGTATAATTCATTTTTAATTAAAAATATTTTGTATTTATTTTTATGTAAACTACTGGTGCTGTTCACCAAAACCAGTCGATCCACCGCCATATATAGACGGCGTCCGTATTAATAGTCCGCACTATTTGTGCAAAATTACGCCCAACCCACAGGTGCCGTGCAGTCGATACACATTAGTCATATCGCAGTACGAGAAGTCGACTACTATTAACTACACACTCCGTGCCTACTCTACCGGTGCCTTTCAACTCAGGAAACTGACCAACGCTTACAAATACAAAGAGATTGTCAGTAGAAAAGTGTTTTGTTTTGACTCTTCTGTTGACACAATATTCTGTGTTTTGTTTGCCATTATTTATAGGAAAAGAGCGGCAAATGGACGACCGATACGGCGGGCGGCTGTGCCAACAACCGGGACACCTATCATAAGAATCCCGTCTATCAGTTCACGATTACCGGTGCCAACGATGCTGACAATCAACTACTCATTGACCTGAAAGGACCCAAGTATTACACTTTTTACACTTATACCGTATTACCATTTATACCGTATTATGGGATTATTGTAAACACAATGTCTAGCAATATTGTAGTTTGTTTATTGTCCTAATTAGTGATTTGTCATTACCATATACGGTAATTAGTATTATTGTACCGTAAGATTAATTGAATTATAATTGTGTATCGAAGGGATTATGCGATAGGAATAGACTTAACTACAGTCAGTGTTGTGAATCAAAACTCCGAAAATTACTTCAAAAAACAATCGTCCGGTGCTTTCAGGTACGGGTGCTTTACATGATTATCTGATACTCGATTATTAATATTTGATATTTGAATTTAGGTCTGGTTTCACTATACTTCAGTTGAAGTCAGTGCCCGCCGGCACCTACAATATAATCCCATCCACTTATAAGCCCAACCAATTGGGACCATTTTTTCTGACTGTCCACTCGACCACACCATTCAAATTAAATAGAATTAGATAATCATTAATTTATTGTTATTTTTATTATCGCACAACTCTATTAAGTCTAATTTAAATGTTAAATTGTTTTTGTATTTTTAAACATTTTGTAATAATAAATTATACCGTACAAAGCTAATTAAAAGTGAAAGTTATCTTTAATTATAGTCGTCAAAAATGAAATTTGCTTGTTTTAATCAACAAAATATCATTTCATCATTACAAGTGATCTCTTTAGTATACAGTCAATGACAAATGATTAGGTTTATGCCGTTTTTATGGCTAATTCATGGAGTATATTAGATAATTTAATGACAATCCATTATTAAGTCGAGTCTTCCATACCAAACATTATTTTAAAGTTTTGTGAGTACATGACCTACCATTTGACGTGAGTTATCATATTTGCAAAGTGCAGCATTTAAAAGTGCCACAAATGAATAGGTTCATATCGGTCAACTTTCATTTTCTGGTCGACTACCAATACACAATAGCAATGGACAGTTCACTAACATTTTATAATGGATGGGTTTAAGTTAATTTCCATCTTAAAGTGTACATCCATTGTACTTAAAGGTATGCCGATATACCAGTGTCTTACACCGTAATATGTTGCATTTAAACACAATACTTTTAATAAAATAATAATAATTTAAGCATAACAATTAAATTTCCTTTAAACTAATTTTATTTCATCAATTTTTTATATTACTAGTTTAAAAAATTGCTTTTAGATAAAAGTTTTGAAAATTAAAATCTATTTACAGTTATGAACACTTGAATTAAGTGTTAAAAATAGAGAACTGGAACTGAAAACATGGTAAAACAAATAAATTATTTTAAGCACAGATTCTGTTTACATAAAATAAAATGCAAAATACTATTTCTGTAATTATAGTGGTGGATATCATTGAACATAACAACAAGGTCAATGGAATTTTTGACGCAATATTTTCTTCAGGCTTAGGAATTTATTAACAGAATATTCCTTTCATTTTAAAACATAATTCTTTAGCCTATAAAACAATACAAGTAGTAAATTCAAGTTACAATAAGTTGTTTTAAAAGATTTATTATTAATATTTTTTAAGCAATTGTAAATTGATTTACTAGATAGTATATAACTTCTATTAATTGAAGGGTTATTAATAAATAATAATGAGTTTTTAGTCTTCCTTAAGATATGAGTCAAGAAATTGTTTATAATTAACTGATATTTAAGTATAATTACAGGTTTTCAGCAAATTATAAAATAAAGAATCAAACAACATTTAAACATAAATTAAAATACTATTAAATACTATTTAATAAATTAATTTTTCATATTATTGATACTTCTGTTAATTTAATAATTTAAATACATAATATTTTTAAATTCTGATTAAGAAATTTTATGTAAATGTACTAAAAATGTTAGTTATTTATAAATAAAAAATAAAAACAAAATTCTCATTGAAAATAAAGTTTTGTAGAAAATTTGAAAAGCTAGACAATTTACTATGTAAACATGTTAGGGACGATACGGCGAATGATATACACTTTAAACAGAATATTATTATACAATAAAATGCATGAAATAATACTTTAGTGTGCTTTTTATTTGAAATAAATTATTTCTTTACATATAAGAAATAAATAAGTAATTATTTTTTATTACTCTTAAATCTAGATCAAAGGTATAACATACTGTATATTGTAATATAATTACTATAAGCAACTGATTTTTATTTGAAATAAATTATTTCTTTACATATAAGAAATAAATAAGTAATTATTTTTTATTACTCTTAAATCTAGATCAAAGGTATAACATACTGTATATTGTAATATAATTACTATAAGCAACTGATGAACAACGTGTAAAATACATATTAGTAAATAATAGTAACCGTTTTGTTATGTTGATAATTTGACAAACTGAAAATATGACTATAAGTATGTATGTTACATAGGATATGAAGAATAGTAGACCTGTATTACACCAAATTAACTATTAATATAATATTTATAAGTGCTATTTGTTTCTATGCAAATTAATATAACTGTACATCCTATCACATGCTTTTGATAGATCTGGAGCAGTTCAAAATTCAAGATTGTGTGCAATATAAACAATTATAAACAAGAAAATGTTTACCCCTTTGAAACCTGTACTCATGAATCATGATATTGTCAAACCAAAGTTGTACACAATGTACAGTACAGTGTAGTGTACAGTAGATCTTAACTGTAATTTGCACTTTAGATTCCTATTTTATGTAGAGATCATATGCTTGAACTGTGCATATGATTCCCTATCGGTGTAACGCAATACTACCGGTGCTAATGGAAAATTCCAGTTCTCAATAACATATTATTGCCATACATAAGACTTTGCCCTCAA